AGCCCTGGTGGTGCAGTGGTTAAGCACTCGGCAGCCAACGGAAGTCAGCAGCTCAAACCCACCAGTTCAGGTGCACTCTAGCGGGAGAACGATGTGGCAGTCTGCTCCCAGAAAATTTACAGCCTTAGGTGTAGTTCTACTCTGTCCTGTAGGGGCGCTATGAGACAGACTCCAGTCAATGGCAACCATAAGGGGGTCTGAACCGCTGATCTCTGAATTCTGAGAGGCAGGATTCCGTTTCCCAAAAATGTGACGCTAGGTGGGGATGGAGCCAGGCACTGGGTTGGGACCACACCCAGGAGGGCTGCCTGGAGGAGGCATGCAGGGACGAGCTTGGAGAAGAGGTGTCCCGAGGTCAGGAGCTGGAGAGAGGTCAGAGACGCGGACACGGACCCCTCCGACACCACCAGGCCTGACACCCGCCCCTGCCCCTGGCTCACCTGGGCCGCGGCCCTGGAGTGTCCCGCCCGCCGCTCTGCGCCCCCCTTCGCCCGCTGGGCCTCCGCACCTTTGTGCGCTCACCGCCCGGGTGGGGAGGGGCGTGGGCCAACCCTGGGGTCCCCGGAGCCGCACCCCGCCTGCCACTGCCTCCCACGCTCAGAATGCAGGCGCCGCGGGCGGGGAGGCAGGTAGGACGGAGCCTGGGGCCTTCGACTCAGAATAAGGGGCGCCTCCAGCGCCGGCCCTGAGCGGGTTCGGAATTGTCCTGTATATATTTAGCCTCCAGAGCAGTTTTCCGTCTCCCATGTGGGGGTGCCTTCTCGGTTTTGGAATCAGGAAGAGGGATAAGCGTAATGAATCAAGGTCAAAGCCCCCCTTTTAACTGATGTGTAAATTGAGTCGGCCTGGGCCTGGGTTCTGGCCTGGAAGGTGGCAGATCCAGGCCTCCTAGGGAGGGACACAGCTGCCCTGCGTCCCAGCAGACCTCTCCTTTCTGTCCTAACAGGAAAGCCTGGCTTTCCAGGGGTTCAGGGGCAAGTACACCGCCCGACAGAGGCAGAAAAAGCTCAGTGCACCAAAATGCCAGGGGAAGTTGCGTCAGAGTCCACTCCCTTCCAACACCAGAGGCTGGAGAGCCTGGAGTCCCTGGGTCGCACAAACGCTTACCCACTTGGCTACTGAGCTCTCTGAATTCACCCAGGACAGGCTCCTTGGTTCAGCCACAGAAAACCCTATGAGGGGCAGTTCTACTCTGAACACATGAGGCTACCATGAGCCTAAATCAGCTACGTGGGCAACTAACTGGGCTGTTTTTCATTTTTTCCTTAGGAGAGGAGCCTGAGCTTCACCTCCTTGGACTGAAACCCAACAAGCTATCCACAGAATGAACGAGATTGTTGTTGTTGTCAAGTCGATTTAAGAGAACAGCTCCACAGGGTTTTCCAGCTCTGGTAGCATAGTGCCTAAAGCATTTGACTGCTTACCAGGAGGCTGGCGGTTCAAACCCACCAGCAACTCCTCGGAAGGAAGGTTTGGCAATCTACTTCCATAGTAATTGCTGTTGTTGTTGTTATTTGCCGTTGAGTCCGACGCGACTCATAGCGACCCCTCCTTGAGTTTTCGAGGCAGTATCACTATGGAAGTAGATTGCCCCATTTTCCTTCTGAGGAGTGGCTGGTGGGTTTGAACCACCAGCCTTCTGGTTAGCAGTCAAGTGCTTCAGGCACTATGCTACCAGAGCTCCCTCAGAAACCCAAGGAGGGGTCGCTAAGAGGCGGGTCCGACTCCCTGGCAGCAAGTTTTAATGTTTACTGTAGCCAGTTGCCAGGTCTTCTCCAGCCGAGTTGCTGTGGGAGTTTGAACCATCAGCGTTTTTGGTTGGCAGCCAAATGCTTAACCTTTGTGCCACTGGGGCTCCTTCTGAATTTATAGAGGGAGGGAAACAATTAGTCCAACTGCACCCTTTACAAAGGAGCTCTGGTGCCATAGTGCTAACCAGAAGATTGGTGGTTTGAACCTACCAGCTGCTCTGCGGAAGGAAGATGGGGCAATCACCGCTGTCTGGGAAATCCAGCAGGGGTCCCTCTGAGTCTGAATGGACTGGACACAGTGAGTTCTATTTTTTTTTGGCTTGCTCCCATTACAGAGGAAGCGTACCATAGGCTAGTGACCACCAGGGGGCGCTACTTCCCCATAGTATTAGTTGACTGTCCCTCCCAACCTTCCTGCCTCTACTCTGCTGGGAGTTTATCCTCACCTTAAGGCCAGTAGTGGAGGCAGCCATTTGGGAAAAAAGCCATTTAGAGCCCTCTCAGGGCCACCCAGGAGCTTCTAGCGCTAACTCTGGAGGTGACGTAGACAGACCTGGAATAAATCCAAGGCTGCAGTGGCAACCATTCTGGCATGCGTGCTAGGATGCCACAAGCCCCGGCCTTCCACATTTTTTTATGAGTTTCCTTTGGGTGCAGTGGAGTCGCAGTGGTCACCCCAGCTTACCTGCCTTCTCTCCAGCTAGACCACTTCCAGCTTGGAGGGAAAAAGGGCTCCGAGGACATTAATGGAGCCTTGGTTCCCATCTAACAAAGGGGCCGGTCTTGCTGGAATAACTGCTGGTAAAGTTTGCACCATGTAAGAAAGGACTGAAAAGCAGCCTCTACCCCAGATGGGTAGAGGGGCGCTTGTCTCTAATTCCACGGACAAATCCAGAGCGCACACAGTCTGGGCCACATGAGAGCCAGAGTTTTGCTTTATTAGCATCGTAAAGACAGCGTTTGCAGACAACCCTGTCCAGCTGTGAACAGCTGCAGAGTTCTGTGAAGTTGGAATTTATCTTGTAGTGAACAAACCCAAATGGTGGATACATGAGAACAGAGTTCCGTATTCCAAGCAGATGAGAGGTGTGGCTGATGGCCGACCATGTTTACACTAGTCGTCGAGTCATTTCCCATCCTAAATACGCAGTTGAATCACAGCCACTACATCTCTGCAAAGTGAAACTTGGTCTTCGACTAATAACGCATTATTGACTCCTGTGAATATTGGCGCATGCGATTCTTTGCTACTCGGGCCATTCACCAGGCCTGGACTCTAAAAGCTAAACTTGATCTAAGTTACATCCTAAGGGTAGGGCAGGGTCTGTGATCTGAACTCATCTTAGCCATCACTCTGCAGAAACACTGCTATGCTCCTTCCTCTCTCCCATCACTGGAACTTGTCTGCCAGTCAGTGTTTATTAATGCCTGCTGCGGTCAGAGGGCAGTTACAAAGGAAATCTTCTAAGTGCTCCTTCCAAGAGACACGAACATCAGTTAATAATGCCAGGGACGATAGAGTCATCAGTCAAGACAACAGGCCTTCCAGAAACTCTCTAAGATGAGAAAATGTGCCTAAGTGTGCTTACTCAGAGAGCTTATTCTAGAATATTTCAGTGTGTGGTGTGTGTATGGGGGGGAGGGGTAGGTTTAGGGACTTCCTTTCAGAAGGTTTGACTACTGGGGTTGAATCTCTTAGACCAGAAGAAAGTCGAGGGAAACTGCTACCTGCTTGATCATCTACCTGCCAACACTGCAGAGTTCAACCAGCTCAATTAAGGACGAGAAATAGATAAAGAGACATCCTCAAGGCAAGGTGGGGAAGGCCTTCCATGAATGAAAAAAAAAGGGACTTGACTCTATGATTTCCACACTGAATCTAGTAGATCAGCCAGATTTGTGTGCACCCCTTAAGCCCTCCCTTTGGCCCTGGTGTGGACCACACTCTGCCCTGAGTGACTGCTTCTCCCTCCAAGGACAGGCTGACTCCCTGCAGGAACCTAAAGAGTTTTTGTAGGTTTCTCTGCACAGTCACACTGCTTACAGAACCAGAACACTCTGCTCTCAAGGCCAGACAGGAGAAGCAATACATTATTACGTTCCTGGAAACAGACACTGTCAACCTTTCGGGAGGATGCTCACGCAGAAGGGTCTACGAAGCTGTTGACCCCGGTGGCCATGTGTCCAAAGAGTTTTCTGACCCCAGGCACCTCTGTCTATTACGTGGTCTTGCATACACAGTCCACAGTTTGGTATCGGTACAAATCAACGATTAATGAGCACAATTAAGAAATGGAACCGCAGAAAACGAAAGGCGGCAGGGGCATCAGCAAAAGCAAAGAGCATTTTTTCTTTTTTATATACAAGAAAAGCACATTGTAGAAATCAAGCTGCTGTACAGTTTTCTGACATTGTATGTACATAAAATTAGATTACTCACAACTGAATCCAAAAGTCCTATTTGTAGAGTAGGGCTGGCAACATCAAAGAAAGACGCAGAACATTGAGCTTTTGAAGCGGAGCAGGCAGCAAGAAAGAGAAGACTGGCAAACACATCTTGTGCCCGGATGTGAAATCCTGCTACCAAGTTATGTGACTAGCTTTCTCTAGTTCTCTGGATTGTTGGGGCTTCCCATTCTAGAAGGGAATTCTGCAGCAGGCCATGGGGAAAGAGAAGAAATTAAAATGGGAAATGCTATTGAAAATCTGCATACCAACTCTGACCCTGGGTGTGTGAATCCAGCTTCCATCTAAGTTAGCTTGCTCACCCTCCGTTCATCACACCGCCAGTGATTTAAATCAGAGTGAACTCCAGCAGGTGGGGAAGATGGCTTTGAACAGATCAGACGGCCTACTGTGAGTCAGAACCTTGCTGCTTTCTCCTCGGTTGGCTCCTGGATGTTGGGGAAGACCCACGGGTTGGTTCATTATCCAATCTCGATGCTAGGGTTCATCTTCCAATTGTTCTCTTCCCCACGCCCTTGCTGTGAGTACCCATGCTAGGCAAGAACAAGCCCCATCCACCAAGCAGGCCTGCCATGGGGTCACCACTCTTCTCGTGCAAACCATCTCCCTATAGGAACGCTGGGCTCTAATCTCGGCTTCAGTTTTCAACTGTAACTGAGTTTAGTGATCCCCAGTTTTCCACTGACCCACAGCTACCTGGGTGTACCCTAAAAACACCATCACCAAGACTTCAGTTAGTGACGTGGTTAGGGTCCGACTCTGTTTTTGACTAGCACCCAGGAATTCTGATGTAATTCTGAACCTGCTTTTGGAAAAGGAAAAAAACAAAAAAAACAAAAACACCAGCTGGCTTAATTCCTCAAGTCTAGATTGACACTTCCTCTCAGACAGCTTTTAAAACTGGGGACTTAGTGAAGTATCTCACAGAAACATCCTGTCTCCTCAGTGTATCCCTTTTGAAACATGGGGACAAGTGGCCACAACTCTTAAGGGGATGAGGATGGGCAGAGGAGGGAGTCAGGTTAAGAAACAGACGCTTCAAAGCAGGGGGCCGTTCCGGATTCCTGGGCGTGGAGGTGTGAACTTGGCAAACTGCAGCCCGTTCTGTCACGCAGAATTCCAAGCGAGATTAACTAGAATGACTTACAAATTCAGAAATCAGGATTTGCATTCAGGGAGTTCTATCACAACGTGCGTATAATTTTGGGGGCTGTTAGCAGCTCTTAGTCATACCCATTTCATCGAAGCAAGGTTTTACCTGCTGAAAAGTTGAGATACCAGCTCTCCTACCCACATGAACTCTAGTGGATTAGCCAAGGCCACGGTTGATGGTTCTTCACTGAATCTATTTGAAATTTAAATGATATGAGAACCTAAAATAGTGCCCAGTGTAGGCAGCCTTCTCCCACCAGCTGAAAACAGCCCAGCTCCTTTCTCACTGAGTCACCACTGTGAATCACTGATGATGAACAGAAATGAACGGCAGATGGGCAGCATCTCACACGGCTGCCATCCAAAAAAACGCAAAAAGAAAACTCGCCAAGAGATGAAGCCTCTCCTCTTGGCTCAAGGGTCTTATTTCAAATCTAGCAAGATGGGAACAGGGCATCTGGAACTCGCCTTCATGACATCTGTCCAAAGCAGGCTCCGTCATTGCTGCAGACATGGACTGACTCCCTTGTCGGGGGCTGCCTCCCCACGTGTGCACCTATGACAGTGAGCTGCTCTCCTAGGGCCCATGAACTTCCTGCTCCCAAATGCCAACCTTATTGTGACCGTTTTTCCCATTCCAGGGTGCCCTCAAAAATGCTAGTTATGTCAAGCTCTGGTCGTTCTCATCATGGCTGCTGAAATGAAGTGGGTCGTGTCAAGGGCCAAGGTCAGGGAAAGAAGTCAGGGGTGAGGTCTGCAGGTGCAGGTGAGCTGAGTCCAAAGGGGCAGGTGGCGGGGAGGGCTGGTTAGTAATTTAAGAAGTCGATCCCAACTTTGACACTCTTGGAGGTGGCTATATCGACGGCTGTGGCCTTGATCTCGGTGTCCCCGAACTGCATGAGGGTCTGGATCTCTCTCCGGGCGGGCACGGCCACGCCGCTGGTGCCGGTGAGATCCAGACGCAGCGTGCCGCACTTCTTCACCCCGGGGTCGGTGATGAAGCTCACGTCGTCATTCTCGGAGCTGTAGACGTTGATGACGATGACCAGCTGGGAGGGCTTGGCTGGGGTGTAGCTGCGCTTCACTAGCTCACCCAGGGCCACAGACTGGTCGGCGGAGATGAACTTGTCGAAGACGTCAGTGCACCAGCGGGTACCGTCCTTCACCAGCAGCTTGTCAGGCGGGTGCTTGCCCTCCACATAGCGGTTCAGCACGCCCACCCCGTAGGTGAGTGGGGACCGGCGCACCTTGATGACAGCCGGGTCCAGGCCAAAGAGGACGGCACCCTTGAGGATGGTGAGGCCTACGTCCTGGGGGATGATGATCCGACACTTGTCACCAAAAGCCGCCTGCACCGCCTGCTGCAGGAGGGGTGCCTCCGCAAAGCCGCCCACCAGGAAGAGGAACTTGACCGTGGACACCTCGGGCTTCTGAAACAGGTCCCCTGAGAGGGAAGAGGAGGGGAGAATGTGTTGTCACCAAGGGCCACCAGGCAGGAAGACAGCATGGCCTGAGCCTGCCGGGGTCCCCAGAACCACCTGGGCTGAACGGAGGGTGGGCTTAGTCTGAGCTCTTGAACAGAACTTCAGCAGAACTGGTCTTTAGAGAAAGGGGTGCACTTCCGTTTCCCAGCCGGCATGTAAAGAGCTTGCCAGTCATCACTCCTGTCCCCACAACCGGAGAAGGAGCGGAGAAATTAAAAGAGCTCTCTCGGAGGCAGCAGAGATTTAGGGACCCACGGAAAATGCCACCCTGAAAACGGATCCAGACTCACCACTCACCAGGAGCAGCCAGGAATACTTAAAGGGTGCCTAAAGCACTTGACTGCTAACCAGAAGGCTGGCGGTTCAAACCCACTGGCCACTCCTCAGAAGGAAGGTTGGGCAATCTACTTCCGTAGTGATACTGCCTCAGACACCCAAGGAGGGGTCGCTATGAGTCGGGTCTGACTTGACGGCACATAACAACAACAAGAGGAAGACAGGGTTATGCAGATAGCACGCAGGGAGGCTGCTAACACACAGGGTGGGGGTTGGAGTCCACCCAGAGGTGCCTCAGAAGAAAGGCCTGGAGAACTGGAAACCCTGGGAGCACAGTTCTGACACCCCTGGGGTCACCAGAGCCCGACCTGCCTCCCCACCAGCGGGTTTGGTTAATTGACCAACAGCTGGAGACGGAGCATTGGACAAGCTTGAGACATTAAGGAACCCTGGAGGCCCAGCCTTACGGGGCCCCGTGTTTTCCCATATTTTGCCTCCAGGAGCCCCAGCAGGTTGTCGCTGTGAAGCTCAGAGAACATTTCTCTTGGGCTTCCTTCTCGCAGTGGGGGGAGAAAAGGAACCATCTGGAAATAGTGCTCTGTTCTCTGCAACAGTGGTCTGCCCTCAAGGGAATCTACAAAGGTGGGGTTCATCGAGGCCCCTAGATCAGAAGACTCAATACAGAGTGGCTGCAGCGGCGGTGCAGCGAGTAAACCCACAACAGCGTGGCCTTGGTTAGCATCTGGTGTTCTGTGCCTGCGCGGGCTGGGTGACGTGACAGCAGCTAACAGCCAATCAGCGTGGAGGAAGAGCATTAGCCAATTCCAGCCCCCTGTAGGCTTCAGGTTCCTCCCAGAGAGGGAAGGGGGCCTGTGCACTAACGTCTCAGGTATAAAAGCAAAGCTGTTGCTGAGTGAAGTTTTGACAGACAGATGGCAATAATTTTTAATAATTTGTTAAGGACCACTGGTGGTTCAGTGGTTAAAGCACTTGGCTGCTAATCAAAAGGTCAGCAGTTCGAACTCATTAGCCACTCCGTGGGAGAAGGATGTGGCAGTCTGCTTCCATAGAGATTACAGCCTGGGCAACCCCACGGACACTTTGTCTTTTAGGGTCCCTGTGAGTCGGAATCTACTTGGGTTTGGTTTGGTTTAGTAATCTGTTATGCACAAGTGAATACCCCTGTGGATCTATGGAGTTAGTAAAGGCAAGCTGTAAGAAATATCATTCTTTGGTTTTCATAGAGGAGTGGAAAGTAGATGGGGACAATGATAAGGGTCCCCAAGTGAGTCTAGTCTGTGTCCTGAATGAGGACCCCTGATGCAGGAGGGTAACTACATGAGTTCTTCCTTTGCCTCACTGAACAGTTCCCTCTTCCCAGTAGGTGTTCTGTTACCTAATTTGTTCTGGTAAAGGCAAAGCCTAGACACCCTGTAAGACCTGCCACTCTAGGACCATAACACATGAGAGCTCCCAGCTCTGGCTTCGGAAGCCCACCTGGAAGCCCACCTAGAAGCCCAGGTGAGCACGGGCTGTCTGATGCTTAGAGTGCCTGAGAGGAAGATCCAGAGCCTGTCCAGGAACCTCCCTCGGCTGGGCCCAGACCCTGCTCCCTCTGGGGCTGCAGCCCTGGACCTCTAGCCAGTCTGACTTCTCCAGCTCTGGTTGATGATGCTGGAAAAATCAATCCCCACTCCCGCCTCTGCCCACCAAGTGGCCAAGCCCCAGCAGATACTTACGGAGATGCTCAATGATGCTGTCGATGGTGGGCTTAAAGAGGGCGTTCATGGCATCTGGACTCATCCTCAGCATCCCCTGCGAGGACCACTTCACGAAGTCCACACTGCAGAGTGTGCACAGAGAGGGCACACGATGAGTGTCTTACTCCCCCAGCAGATCCGCACCGGGGCAGGGAAGGGCTTTGAAGTCCAAGGCACTCTTGGAAATTCCCTGAACTCCCAGGACTCGGACCCCTCGAAGCTCAAAAACAAAGATCTAACCTCTTCCATCTTCATTTTTGGGTGTGGATGACCTTCATGTGGGACCCAAAACCCAAACCCGCTGCCCTCATGTCGATTCTACCTCATAGTGACTGTATAGGACAGAGTAGAACTGCTCCATAGTATTTCTAAGGCTGTAAATCTTTACAGAAGCAGACTGCCTTGTCTTCTTCCCATGGAGCAGCTGGTGGGTTTGAACCACAGACTTTCCAGGTGGCAGCCAAGCACTTAACCACTATGCCACCAAAGCTCCCTTCCCCTGGGATAGTAGAGGCCACAGTCTAGTGCAAAAGACAAAGAGTTAAATAAACAGACGGCCTCTCTTGGATTACCACAGATAGCTGGATCTGAGTACACTAAAGGCTCGAGGAGCCATTAATGTCCATTGTACTACTATGTAAGCCATGTGTGCACTAGATACATCTCTTGCAACCCTCAAACACCCATCCTGTGGCAGTGAGGAGCCTGGATGTCCACTTCCTGTCTCCTCTGTCAAAGGGGCAGCAGGTTCAGAAGCAGCACCATGGAACAGAAAGAACACAGACAGGGAGTTGGGCCGCTGGGCTGGTGGCTACCCTCCACCACTGGGTAGCTACAGGGTTCTGGGTAAGCGGCCTATTGTTTTCTCTGAGCCCCAGTGTTCTTGTCTGGAATCAACGATCATCATTTGCCTTCCCTCCCACACAGGGGTCGTTGTGAAGGTCAAGTTAAACACTGTGTCTGTGAAGGCACCTGGGAAACTTTCTGGCACTAAACAAATGCCAAAAACAAAACAAACACCACCACCAAACCCACTGCCACTGAGTCGGACTCAAGGCAGGTGTTACAGAGCAGAACAGCTCCGCAGAGTTTTCTTGGCTGTGATCTTTACAGAAGCAGGTCACCAGGCCTTTCTTCCATGGCACCACTGGATGGGTTCGAACTGCCAGCCTTCAGGTTAGCAGTTGAGCACAGACCATTTGCATCACCCGAGGACCCATAAACGAACGCCAAGGTCTGTTACCCAAAACCACAGTGTGTACCTCCCTGTCCTAAAGTTCATATGGGCCTCTGTCCTTAAAGCAAAGCACATACCAGCTGCTTCCTGGCAACACATTCTGGATACTTCCTGGCCTCCCAGGTCAGGCCAAAGCACAGTGTGGTGTGGTATGCAATGGCCCCATGACCAGCTTCCCAGGAGGGGAGCTTGAAGGCTCTTGGGGTTCAGGTGGGACTTGGGGTTCACCTCAGAGAAGGTGCCCTCTGTGGGGGACCACTGGGGCAGAAAAAGCGTCAGACTAGTCAGGGGGTCTGTCTAGGACCCTGCTCCACCAGCAAGAAGAGCTGGGGTCCAATCTACTTGGTTTCCACCAGAAGGAACAGGGTATCTTAGAGAGATGGTCCAAAGTTTCCAGTGCCAGGGAGGGGAGGCAGAACCTGAGCCTGGAGCCTCCTCATCCTCATAGCTGGAGAGCAAAGATGCTGTCAGAGGCTGCTCGGGTCACATCCAAGGACCCAGCAGCCAGCCTGAAGCAGCTCTTGCTTCCAACATGGGACGATTTAACCATCAACAAGGATACAACTGCCATGGTTTGCAACACACAAAATCTGTTTACATCCTTGAATGCTTAACAATACTCTCTCATCATGCTCCCTCCAGAGAAAAGAAAACTCACTAGTCACTTTGAAAGATATCAAGAAACCAGTTCACTTAAAAAAAAAAAAAAAAAACATAAATGGAGGAAAAGAACCAAGCATTTCTTCTGCCTTTCCTGTATGAACTGAATTTCTGGACAATCAAACAGTTGAGGAGACACCATCCCTTTCTAGACATAGTTTAGCTGACAAATGAAGAAGGAGTGAAGAGTCTGGAAGGTAACCAGGTGGCAGCCCCTCGAAGTTCACAGGCCTGGGTAATCACGGTCAAGTTCACAGGCCTGGGTAAGCATGATCAAGTTCACAGGCCTGAGTAAGCATGGTCAAGTTCACAGGCCTGGGTAAGCACGGTCAAAGGCTGCTGACATCACAGGAGAGGAGGCCAGCCTACATTAGGTGTCCCCCCTGATGTGATGCAAAAGAAATGCCACCACCCTTGGAGGGGACTTGTCCAAAACTCAAATGTGGATCTGGTTCAGCTTCTAGATTGTTCCTCCAATTTGAAAAGAAAAACATCAGGGGACAGAAGAATGTGTTATGCAACACTGTGAGGATGTAATGAGCAAAACCTAGACTACAGGAAACTCCACAGGACAAACAATCAGTCTAGCCATCTAATGAAGTGCCAGGGAATAAACGGAGGGGAGGCCTATGCATTAAATGAGACAGAAACTCCAGACCTAACCCACTGCCATCAGTCGATTCCGACTCATCGCAACGCAAAAGAGACAGAAGAGGCAGATCAAAGAACTTCCATACACGGCCCGTATTCAATGCTGATGCCAACTGCAAAGCTTCCTGGGACAACTGATGAATGATGAATGCTGTGGATATCTGATGATATCAAGAGTCGTTCATCGGTGGGTGTGACAATGGTATTATGGTTACGTCTGAAAAGCTATCTCCTACACAGATGCATGCTGACGTATTTCTGGATTAGATGATGTTATAGCTTAGATTTGTTTTAAAATAACTGAGGGAAGTGGGGGTGAGGGTAGAGACTGGCCAAAAAAAAATATATATATATATATCCCATTGCTATGGAGTCAATTCTGACTCATAGTGACCCTATAGGATAGAGTAGAACTGCCCCATAGAGTTTCCAAGGATGTAAATCTTTACAGAAGCAGTCTGTCTCATCTTTCTCCTTGCAAAGCGATTGGTAGGTTCAAACCACCAACCTTTTGGTTAACAGCCAAATGCCTTAACCACAGTGCCACCAGAGCTCCTGGTAGAGATTAGCCAGGAGCCAACAGTTACTGAAGCTGGATGACAGGGCTCATTCTGCATAGTAAACATTTGATATTTTCCATTTTAAAAAAGCTTTTAAAAGTCTATGATCTTTGCCTACTGTTTTTTCATCCATCCTTAAAACAGCTTCCAAATATGCTCATTTTGCAACAAGCTGGGCCATAAACACTTCCTGCAGCCCAGGGACTCAGAGTAGCAGGAAATCCAGATCCCTATAGAATTCACTGGATGCCACGCTGTAGGCACTTACTTGTCCATGCCAAGAGATTTGGAAGGCAGCCACCTGGCCAACTGACTGGAAGAGATCCAGATTTGTACCCATTCCAAAGGAAGGTGATCCCACAGAATGTGGAAATTATCAAACAATATCAATATCACACGCAACTAAAATCTTGCTGAAGATGATTCAGAAATGCTTGCAGCAGTATATTGACAGGGAACTTCCAGAAATGCAAGCTGGATTCAGAAGAGGACATGGAACAAGGGATATCACTGCTGATGTCAGACGGATCTTGGCTGAAAGCAAAGAATACCAGAAAGATGTTTACTTGACTATGCAAAAGCATTAGACTGTGTGGATCATAACAAATTATGGGTGACATCAAGAAGAATGGGAATTCCAGAACACTTAATTGTGCTCATCAGGAACCTGTGCATAGACCAGGAGGCTGTTGTTCGAACAGAACAAGGAATACTGCATGGTTTAGAATCAGGAAGGGAGTGCGTCAGGGTTGTATCCTTTCCCCACACTTATTCAATCTGTACGCTGAACAAATAATACAAGAAGCTGGACTATATGAAGAAGAACGTGGCATCAGGATTGGAGGAAGGCTCATTAACAACCCGTGATATGCAGATGACACAACCTTGCTTGCTGAAAGTAACTTGAAGCACTTACTGATGAAGATTAAAGACTATAGTTTGCAGAATGGATTATACCTCAACATAAAGAAAACGAAAATTTTTACAACTAGACCAATAAACAACATCACAACAAATGGAGAAAAGATTGAAGGTTTCAAAGATTTCATATTACTTGGATCCACAATTAACATCAATGGAAACAGCAGCCAAGATCATCAGATATAATATTGCGCTGGGCAAATCTGCTGCAAAAGACCTCTTTAAAGTGCTGAAGAGCAAAGATGTCTTTTTGAGGACTATGGTGCACCTAACCCAAGCCATGCTATTTTCAATCGCCTCATATACTTATGAAAGCTGGACAATGAATAAGGAAGACCAAAGAAGAGTTGACGCTTGTGAGGTGTGATGTTGGCAAAGAATACCGAAAGTACCACAGATTGCCCAAAGAATGAACAAATCTGTCCTGAAAGAAGTGCAGCTGGAATGCTCCTAGGAAGCGAGAATGGCTAGACTTCATCTCACCTACTTTGGTTGTCAGAAGGGACCATTCTCTGGAGAAGGAAATCATGCTTGGTAAAGTGGAGGGTCAGTGAAAAAGGGGAAGGCCCTCAACAAGATGGATTGACACAGTGGCTGCGACAATGGGCTCAGGTGTAGCAAGGATTGTGAGGATGGCATATGACCAGGCATGAGTCGGGGCCAACTCAATGGTACCTAACAACAACACAGAATTCACTCAATAAATATTTGCTGAGTACCTGCTCTGTGCCAGGCTCTACTCTAGCCACCGGTGACACAGCAGTGGTCTAAACAGACACACTTCCCTGCTTTCACAAAGCTGCTATTTTTTTAGTGGATTAGAAAAGCTAACACGAGATAACGGGGGTCACTATGAGTTGGAATCAACTCTATGGCAGTGAGTTTGGTTTGTTTTGGTAACACAGGAGCATGTTCCATCCTCACAACCACCCTTCAAGATAGGTGGGATTATCATCCCCATTTCCCAGATGAAAGCACTGCCGAATAGAAAAGTTGAGTCACGCACACTCACCCAAGGTCACACAGTGAGCACGCAGGATTGGAACCCGGGCCATCTGGTCCCCGAGTCCAGGACCCTCCCTCCTTCCTGTCCACATGGTCTACCCCAGGAATGTGTCAGCCTTCAGAGGGCCCAACTCACTTGCTCTTCCTCAAGGCGTGCTCCACGCTGTGGCCCCGGAACTTCTTGTAGTAGTCGATGAAGGAGAAGGGCAGGGTAATGTTGAGGGGGTTGGTCCGGTCTGGGGCAGCCGCCCTCTTGCGAGACTCAAAGGCAATCATTAAGTCGACCCAGGCCGCGGGACGCTTGATTTTGAATTGTTCAATAAAATCCTCTCCAAATATTTTACACAGAAGTTTTTCAAATTCAAAATCTACTCCTAACGATCCATAGGGGCCACCTGAGTCAAGGGCACAATGGGAGACGATGATGTTAAAATCATCAGAAACTGAATCCAAACTCTGGGTCTACCCTGTGTACCACCTGGGCAGGCCTACCTATGTCTTCGGTGAAATACTAAGTGGCATGAACTTAAACCCACCCCACGAGCAGACTACGGCTACATGTTTTCACTTATACTTCAAAACCCTTAGGCTGTTCTTAGTCCGTGTGAAGAAACTTTTTTTTTTTTTTTTTGGTACAGAAATCATCACTTTTCAACAATCTGTTTAAAGTCAATTACCATTACATTTCACTAACTGCGAGTATCATGGTGTTACCATCCCAGAATTCCAAGGCAAATCAGCAGAACTCACCTACCCCCTACGATTTACCAACTACTCTTCCTCCACCACCACCATCCCCCAGGTAAAGAACATAGTCTTCTTTTTGCACAATTTGGTGCAAAACAATTTGGCCCGGGATCTCCCTGCAAAGCTAGCTTTAGCAGCTGAATCACAGGTAGCATCCAGTTACAATCATATCCTTCCAGGAATTTCAAAAATAAACTCCCTTGGCCAGGATCTGAAACAAACTCACTTTATGCCAACAGCCACGTTGTGATGTTGTGTGTTTTAAAGAACGTTTCACTGCATGTTGTGTTCCTATTTCAAACAGGCTTCAGTATACTCCACTGTCGACAAGCCCCCATACTGACAGCAATCGGAAATGGGCAAATCAGAACCACCTGGAAACATCCCAGGAGTGAGAAAACCAGCCATGCAGGGCTCACCTGTTGCTTTATACAGTTCCTTCAGGTGTCCCTCTGGTAACCGTATCTGATGGACTGTTAGGTCCACGGTGCCACCTCCACTATCCACAACCACATACTTGTCACCTAGTACAAAAGCAAACAACCATGTTTTTCACAGATGGCTTGATCAACCCCATCCTGCAACCCGCCAGTGGGTGATGACTTGGTATACTGAGCAACACACCATCAACATTTTGCATTAGTACAATGGTTTTGCTAATTAGCAGCACAAGAGTTATTCATGATTAAAGAGAATGCAGTAATGTCTGGCCAGAAGCGACAGTTAAGCATGAATAATAATGAACCTAGATGAGTGAACCGTCAAGACTAAAGCATTCATGTCACAGTGCTGCATACCTGGCATGTCCACCATGGGCAAATCCCTGCCATGTTAACAGCGCCATACAACTCTGGAACTGGCGAGTTCCAAGTCCTACCTCTCCCATGAAGAGTCTACATGATCTTACAACATGCAAAATTATGGCTATAACTACAGGGAGGAAGTGGGAAGGGAGCTGTTACATTGTGGGGATTGCAGTCAATGTCATGAAACAAAATGTGCATGAACTGCTGTCTGGAAAATGAATTTACTCTGTGAACTTTCACCCCAACCACAATAAAAATTTAAAAAAAAAAAGCAATGACGTGGGGGGAGAAAATTATAGCTTCCCAAACAGGCTCTCCCCTGGTGAGTGATCTTTAAAAGCAACTGATTTTGAACATTTCCCCAAAGGAGCAGCACACAAAATGAAGCAAGAGCACAGTCAAAGGCACTACCTTCCTCCAGCTCGGACCAGATCTCTCCTATGACATTCTCCACCAAAAAGGTCCGACTCTGCCGGTTACGCCGGATGTGTTCCTTAGCTAGTGGCCGACAGAAAGAAAATGACGACGGGTGAGAAAGAATAAAGAAGCAGACGGTCAGCTGTGGTCAGTGGAGGCAATGGCATGAGGAGGTTTAGGGATGGAATATTTAGTGACACTCGATCAAAATGATTCGATAAACACAACATTGGCAATTGCAAAGCCAGCTCTCCCCTGAGAACGGCGCGCTTTCCACCAGCCCTCATCTATTCATCGGCTTGGCAGCTGGGGCCAGTGCCCTGCTGGAAAGCTTACTCCCTTGAGAGTCCCTTCTCTGAAGACAGGTTTTGGGAATGGTTGCTGTAACAGACTGAAATCCTGGTTCTGCTGCCCTGGGGGAAGCTGTCTGGTAAGGAGCTTGCAGTATGCCGAGTTAAACAATTTCACGTCAAGGAACTTTTGTCTGCTGCAAGGAACGTGGGGTATGTTTTCCTAATCTGGATCCTGGGTGAAGGGGATGGGAGCCATTTTCTGATCCTGTTGAAGCCAATATGTGCTTCAGCCACAAGGTGGCGCTTCAGCCACAAGGAGACACGTCTGAACCTAGTGAAGCCTTGAACTACCTTCCTCAGGAATTCTGTGAGGACAACCTCTGATTAGTGCCTAAGGCACTTGACTGCTAACCAGAGGGCTGGCGGTTCAAACCCACCAGCCACACCAAGGAAGAAAGGTTGGGCAATCTACTTCCATAGTGATAGTGCCTCGGCAACCCAAGGAGGGGTCGCTATGAGTCAGTCCGACTCGACGGCACATAACAACAACAACCTCTGATTGAGTCCACTGCCTTGACTGCCGGCCTGGTGTAGTTTGTGTCTGCGACACCTGGAACGGAGCATTTCTCTCTCCCAGCCCTCCCAGCAGTCCTGTAAAGCCAACAGGGCACAAAGTAATGTCCTTACATTAGATGAGGAAACTAGGTCAGGAGCTGTTAAGGGACGTGCAGTCCCCACGACACTGCCCTGCTGCCTGACAGTAACCCCTGGACAGCAGACCTTCAGGCCTTGGATATTTAACAAGTTCAGGGAGCTCTGGTGGTGCAGTGCCTAAGGCATCTGACTGCTAACTAGAAGGCTGGCGGTTCAAACCCACCAGCCACTCCTCAGAAGACTGAACAATCTACTTCCGTAGTGATACCACCTCAGAAACCCAAGGAGCGGTCACTATGAGTCAGACCCAACTTGACGGCAGTGAGTTTGGTTTGGTTTTGGTTTTGGTGAAGTTTGAATGAGCAGAACAATGGCAAGTTAAGAGATGGGAAAGGTGCAGTGAGAAGGCCACATGGGCCCAGAGTTTGCCAAGTCATGTAACCACTCTGAGCCTCAGTCCCCACACCTATACAATGGGGATGATGACACCTGGCCTAAGTTCCTCACAGGCAGGGCAGGGACCCAGTGGCATCTGTCACATGGTGGGTGACAATGATGGCAAAACAACCAGTGCTCAACAAATGATAACTACTATAGGGGCACTGAGGAGCTCTGGTGGCATAGTACCTAAGGCACTTGACTGCTAACCAGAAGGCTGGCGGTTCAAACCCACCAGCCACTCCTCGGAAGGAAGGCTGGGCAACCTAGTTCCATAGAGATACTGCCTCGGAAACCCAAGGAGGGGTCAGGTCTGACTCAACAGCACATAACAACAACAACAACAACATAGGGGCGCTGAATCAGAGTCGACTTGATGGCAAGAATTTAGAGGAATCCCTAGCACTGCTGACTTTGAGTCGCCCTACAAATCCCTCTGTCACGACACATATCCCTCTGTTACAGCATATATCCCCCAGTGCAGCATCCTTGACCCTCTGGCCTCTGCACAAGGAGCACAGGGTTTGCAAACAACTTCTCTGGGGATTCGAATGGCAAAGACCCAGCCAGGGGCGTTCAGGCCCTAGCTCACAGTGGAGATGCTGTCACTGGTTGGAGAGTCCTGCAGGCCTGGGGGGGAGCCCAAGCTGGGAGTGTCCCCCCATTGCCAGCACCAGCTCCACCTGAATCTGTTTCACAGGCCTCGTAGTGGGCCTTTGGTTTCCTTAAACAATCTAGATGGCTAACTAAGTGGCATTCATGAAAAATGGCCAAACAAGGCAAATAAAACATGCTCTGAGTTTCAAGAAAAAAAATTGTCCCATGTTTCAGGCCAATTACATCCAATATTGCGGAAAATGTATCCTCTATGGATCTCATTAAATTCTCTCAGAGAAAAACAGTACAGACCGCCAAGCCTGTGGCATGGTGGTGGGGCTAGCCCAAGAACCTGCTTCTTCTTCCTCAGTGGAGTTCAGAAGAATAGGCTGGGGTCAACATCTTGGGTGCTCTTGACATCCCTTCCTTCTAGGGGAGATGTTCTAACTGTAAAGCAGGGCTGGGACCAGACCTGGGGACTCGCTGCCACTCTGATGATGGTGGCCAACAAATTGAAGGTTTCAAAAACCAGAAAGGCCCTCTCCAGTCCAGGGAGACTACACCAAAGGCCAAAGGCCACAGACAGAGCGGGGTGGGGTGGGGGCGGGGGTGATATATTAGAGGGAAGGGGACCTAACCTGAGCCTTCGCAGAAGCGAGAATCAATAGCAGATTTGAGTCCCTAAAACATGAACGTTGTACATCAGAAGTATCAAGGAGAGCTTCGCTAGAATTAGTTAATGCTGACAGAGTTTCTGTTTCCGAACACGTGGGTGAGACGCTGCAGTAAGACATAAAGGCCAGGCATTGCTGTTAAGGCTGGCCTGGGCATGTCT